GACCATACCTACTCTAACAAAGCCACACCTCCCAGTAGTGCCACTCTCTATGAGCTTATGGGAGCCAATTATGTTCAAACTACCCCAGTCAGCCTAGCCAAACTGATGAGTTCTAGACCAACTAGAGACCTTGTCTCAAAAATCAAGGTAGATGGTGTCTTGAGGAACAACACCCAAGGTTGATCTCTGGCCTCTATACACTGTACATACCCTGTACAAATACCTGCATGAATGTAAATATTTAAGCTTGGCACAGTGGTGCATAGCTTAGCACTTGGAGGGTGGAGGCAGAAGAATTGGAAATTCAAGGTCATCCTCAGCTACATAGAGAGTTTCAGGCCAGCCTGGGTTACATGAGACCCTGTCTCAAAAGTCAAATGAACAGCTTGGTATGGTGGGTGGTCTACGCCCTTGATCTGAGCACCCAAGAGGCAGAAGCAAGCAAATCTCTCTGAGTTGGAGGCCAGCCAGGACTACATAGTAAGACCATGTCTCAAAAAGAAACAAATAAACAAAGTAATCTTATCCTAATGAAGGGTCTGTGTACTTCACTGTAGGGTTCACAGGCTTGCGACACCTAGAGTGGCCAATCTAGTCCTACCCTGTCCTCTGCTGAGAGGGAACCAAGCCCTAGGTTAGAATGTATATCAGGAGGATGGGATTTCATCTTTGGAGGACGGTGCCTTTGGGTCCTTTGGCCTTGGAGAAGCAAGCAGCGAGCCTTCCTCCGTGGGGCCCTAAGCTGATGAAGCCTGAGCCCCCACTCAGTCCAGGATGCTCCTCCAGTGGCTACGTGGGTCCTGAAGTACAGCAAGCAGGGCAATCCAGGACAGACAGCTGGGACCAACCAGGATTCACCATCATTGTGGCTCCGTCTTCTGATGTGGGAAATGGAGATAACACTCACTGTCAAGGTCACCGCACTTCACCAGGCACAGGGTTCAACAGCAGCTCAAGTCCCTATAGTGCCCTCCAGAGAGACGGCACCTGAGCGCGTTCTAGAAGGTGGTCTATGACGTCAGTGAGTACCAGGTGGAAGGAGGAGCCCCAGAAGGGGCGGAGGGGGGGGGGGAAGGAAAGCCCCACAGAGAGCCATACAGCCTGTTCTGGGGCATCTTCGTTAAGGTTTCCATTGCTGTGATAGAGAATCATGATCAATGGCGGGAGAGATGGCTCGGAGGTTAAGAGCACAGGCTGTTCTTCCAGAGGTCCTGAGTTCAATTCCCAGCAACCACATGGTGGCTCACAACCACCTAATGAGATCTGGTGCCCTCTTCTGGCATGCAGGCATACGTGCAGGCAGAACACTGTATCCATAATAAATAAATAAACCTTTAAAAAAAAAAATCATGACCAAAAGCAACTTAGGAAGGAATGGGTTTATTTCATCTTATGCTTCCAGGTAGCCGTTCACCACTGAGAGGAAGTCAGGGCAGGAACCCGGAGGCAGGAACTGGAGCAGAAGCCACGGAGAAGCACTGCTTACTGGCTTGCTTCCCGTGCCTTGCGCAGCCTGCTTTCTTATACAGAACACGCAACCGCCTGACCGTGGATGACAGCGCCCACCGTGAGCTTGGCCCTCCAGCACCAAACGTGAATCGAGAAAAATGCCCCATAGGCTGGCTCACGGGGCAATCGGATGGGGGCATTTTTTTCAACCGAGGTTCCCTCTGCTTCTAATGACTTTAGCTTGTGTCCAGTTGAACAAGCAAACAACCAACAGCTAAGACAGAGGGAAAGCTGTACGAGGGGACTGGCCCGAGCGTTGGCCGTGTGCAGAGTCTGCAGCAGTGGCTCTCAACCTTTCTAATGCTGTGGCTCTTTACAGATCCTCATGTTGTGGCGACCCCTCCCCCCACATACCATAACATTATTTTCGTTGCTACTTCACAACTGTAATTTTGCCAGGGTTAGGAGCTGCAATGTAAATATCTGACATGCAGGGTATCTGATACGTGACCCCCGTGGAGGTCGTGACCCACAGGTTGAGAACTGCTGGAAAGAGTCACTCCTGCAGGATTCAGCTTGTGCCTGCACGGGTATCCATAAGGTATACAGCAGGTAGAGTGCATGCCCAGCAGCTTGAAGCCCTGGATTCTACCCCCAGTACTGCATAAACCAAGCATGGCCATACGTGTCTGTAATTCCCTCCACTCAAGAGAATCAGGAGTTCAAGGTCATCCTCAGTTTCATAGCCAAGTTCAATGTCAGCCTGGGCTACATGAGCCTTTGTCCCAAAGAAAAATAAAATAAGTTTGTTCATTCTTCGTCACATCGTCTGTGTTCTGTAGCATGTATGGTGAGTGGTTACTGAACGGGACCCTGTGTGTGTCAGATATATCCCAAAAGTTCCAGAGGGCATCCTTGGTTGGGTCTTTGTCTGGGAAATGGCTGTACCATGAGGGTGGTGGGAGGCTGGCTTGGGGACGAGGGTGCAGACGCCTGAGTCAGGCTGAGCTTCAAGCTAATGTAGGACCGTATCCTGCCCCAGGTTGGATCTCAGTGTGTCTGTCCAAGGGCCTGTCCACACCCAGAGGGAGGCAGTGGAATGGGTACCTGGGCTAGATTCTGGGGTACTAGTGTGCTATGGTTGGAGACAGTCACCACCACCCCCACCACCACCTCTGCAGATTGGGTGGGATTCCAGCCTCTGCATACAGGGCAGCTGTGTGGACAGGAGGAGCTGGAAGGCATGGATGGGCCTGGGCGACAAAGTAAGGGGGAGGGGATGTCTGCTGATGTTGTGATCTGCTTGTAGGTACATGGCCATCGTCCACCCCTTCCAGCCGCGGCTCTCGGCCCCCAGCACCAAGGCGGTTATCGCTGGCATCTGGCTGGTCGCTCTGGCTCTCGCCTCCCCACAGTGCTTCTATTCCACCATCACCGTGGACCAGGGAGCCACCAAGTGTGTGGTGGCCTGGCCCAATGACAATGGAGGCAAGATGCTCCTTCTGTAAGCCCCACACCAGGGATGAAGGTGGGGGGGGGGACATGTGCTTGTATGTTGGCTCATGTCTGTGTGTGGCGTGTGCCTAGGGATATGCACACAGCTCTGCAGGTATATATGGGATCGTATGAGGGCTCCTATATGATCATATACTGAGGCTCCTCAGCTGATAGCAAGGGGTTGGGGGTGTGGCTCAGTGGTAGACTGCTTATCTAGCATCCAGGAAAACCTGCGTTCAATCCCCAGGACCGCACAAGCTGGGAGTGGTGGTACACACCTGTGATGCCAGCACTTGAAGGTAGAGGCAGAAGGATCGTAAATTCAAGACCATCCTCAGCTACCCAGCATGCTCAAGGCAAGCCTTGGGACACACGAGGTCCTATTTTAGACAACAAAAAAATCACAGTAAAGCTGCACCCCCACAAACCCACTGTAGGTAGAAAATACCCATTGTTAAGTGTGGGTAATGCCCTCATAACGGTGACCTGGTGGCTAGCTGGGGGTGACTCACTGCCACTGCCTAGCTTCTTGATAGAAAAGCCAACAGAAAGGTAAGAATTTACGGTGTGGCGTCTGCTGGATGCATGCTTCACTTCCATCATCAGACAGTCAAAGTCATTGAATCAAAACATGAAGTTGGGGACCATCTATACTAAAAGCAATGCCAAGTAGTGGTATCTGGTAAGACCTGTCATAAGCCCTTTGTATCTACTGATACTTTGAATTCTCTTAATGTTATGGAGCAATCACTGTTAATATTTTATTATTTATTTATTTATTTATTTATTTATTTATTTATTTATTTATTTATTTATTTATTTATTTATTTATTTATTTATTTTAGACAGCCTATCCGCCACCTCACTAAGGATGAACATGGACCATGTGCATCTGCAGATGGACCGTGTGGCTCTGCATATCACACATGCGCTGCCACTGGTGTCTGTGTGTGGATGTGTGTGTGTAGTCCGTAGGAGGCCAATGCCGGGTAGCCGTGGCAGCCTACCTGTAATATCGGTACTCAGGCGGTGGAGGCGAGGCTGGAGATCTAAAGCAAGGCCAGCTGGACTAGCCAAGTCAGAGAGCTCAGGTCACCAGGCTTGGCAGCAAGCCCGGATTCCCGCAGAGCCGTCTCACCGGCGGCGGCGCCGGGGTTACAGTTTATATGTTAAACAAACATAAAATTTCAGTAGCTTTTCCCTTTTCCCCCTTTGAGCCTTTTCTGTAACACGAACAACTGGGGCTGATGCCGGTGACTTTTTGTGAGGAAAGCCCATCTTCAGCACCTATGCTAGCCAATGTTGCCTTAATTTTTCTTTAAATCGAACTCCGGGGGGCGGGGGGTGGGGGGTGGGCTTCAAGGTGTGGGGTCCGTGGGGTTCACGGACCTTCAGTTTGGGTGGATCTGGCTGCCTGCTGCCCACCCAGGTCCATGGCTCTCCCTCCAGGTATCATCTGGTGGTGTTTGTCCTCATCTACTTCCTGCCCCTCGTGGTGATGTTCGTGGCTTACAGTATCATCGGCCTCACGCTGTGGAAACGCGCCGTCCCCAGACATCAGGCTCACGGCGCCAACCTGCGCCATCTGCAGGCCAAGAAGAAGGTGAGAGCCGAGGCGGAGAGGGCGGGGCCTGCTCCGGGCGGCACCTGGGGCCCCGAAGCCTACCCACTAGGGGGCACTGGAGAGCACATAATCCTGGTCTCTCAGTATCTCAGAAAAGCCGCAGAGGAAGGACAGACACCTCTGCGATCTGGAGACCAATGCGAGACCGACTTCTTCGTGTTCTGAAAGTTCTCACCATAGCAAGCAGGGAGGCTCTTAGGACAACACCCAGGGGTCCCTTCGACTGGGAAGTTGGTCTCGATTTGCCATCTCCAACTTGCCTTCTCGTCCTCAGGGGTGCTGGGCAATGCAGGAGCGTGCCTGCAGATGCCGGGCATGTGAGTGCCAGGGAGGGCTCAGAACCTGGCCTCTAGGCAGAGGATGGGGTACCAGGATGGAACATCACTGCCTACATAGATAGAAGGGCTAAATTAGGCAACGATTCCGGGGAAGGGCGGCTTGGGTCCCAGACCTTTGACTTCCTAAGAGGGGACAGGATGGAGAGGTGCTCCCTGGGAAAGTATCCTGGGAGAGTGGTTCACAGAACCGGGCTGCTAGACATGAGGATTTCAATGGAAGGACGGCAGTGTGAGCAATGCCTCAGGTGGTGGGATCTGGAGCATGTGGCAAATACATGTTCCAGGGGATGGAGGCCAGAGGGGTAGAGGGGGTCTGACTACAGAAGGTTCTCCAGGCTGGGATGAAGGGTACCCCACACTGATGCCAGGAGGGTGAAGACTTGGGACTCAGGGGCCAAGGACTGACCAGAGCCTCTCCCTGACCAGTTTGTGAAGGCCATGGTGCTGGTGGTGTTGACCTTTGCCATCTGCTGGCTGCCTTACCACCTCTACTTCATCCTGGGCAGCTTCCAAAAGGACATCTACTACCACAAGTTCATCCAGCAGGTCTACCTGGCACTCTTCTGGCTGGCCATGAGCTCCACCATGTACAACCCCATCATTTACTGCTGTCTCAACCACAGGTCAGTCCCACCCTGGCTCTGCCCTTTACCCACGGGGCCTCTCCTGCATGGTGAGGGACCTCCACTCTAGCTCCTGCCAGAACCTAGAGCTGCCCCTCACCCCACCTAGGGATGCTGCCTATGAGTGTTATAGTTGATGAGGTGCTTGCCTGGCAGGCATGAGGCTCCGGGTTTGATCTCCAGCACTCCGTAAACTGGGCATGGTGGTGTGCACTGGCAATCCCAGCACTCTGGAGATAGAGGCAGAAGGATCAAAGTTCAAAGTCATTCTCAGCTACATTGGACAGTCAGTGTCACCATGGGGAAGGGTGTTTTCGGTTTTGGATTTTCTTTTCCAACTTTTTTTTTTTTTCTCTAACACCCAAGGCTTCGTTTTACTCATTTTGAGACAGGCGCAGATGCCTAGGCTAGCCTCGGCCTTTCCTTGAGCTTCCCTCCTCCTTCCTTATTCTCTGGAGTAGCTGGGACTACCGGCCAACACCCAGGCTTGAGTGAGAGCTGTTTATTTTTCTGAGCAAATGTACCCATACTTGGTAGCTCCAATGTGCCAGTTTTCTTTTGAAGCAGCTCCTGGGTGCCAGGGGGTGGGGGCTGGGGGAGCGTCCCTATTCCACACACATGGCCAGAACGTAATTCTCTCTCTCTCTCTCTCTCTCTCTCTCTCTCTCTCTCTCTCTCTCTCTCTCTCTCTCTCTCTCTCTCTCAGATTCCTCTTTGAATTCCCTGCTAGAAGCCAGTTAAGTCACGTGGTTTCTTTGTCCTATACTGTGGTTTCTCTCTCTTCTCCCTTCTCCTTCCCTCCCTCCCTCTCTCTCCCTCCATCCCTTCCTTTCTTCCTTACAAAGGCAGGGTACCAGCTTGCTGCTTGCTATCCTTCCTGCCCCTGCCTCGGAAGTGCCTGTCTCCCGTGTTTCTGGCTGTTCCGAAAGACTAAATCCACTCAAGTGTGCGTCTCAGCGGCCCTGAGTTGGTGGTGGTCTCTTCAGAGTGAGGCACCTCTCTGCCAAGGAGCTCGTCTCCTGGGGCGTAGAGCAGTCACATGGCAGATGGCTCCTGCACCCTGACCTCCCTTGCTTAAAGTGACTTTCCGCACCCCTCAGGTTTCGCTCTGGGTTCAGGCTTGCTTTCCGGTGCTGCCCCTGGGTGACGCCAACTGAGGAAGACAGACTGGAGCTGACTCACACTGCATCCCTCTCCAGGAGAGTCAACAGGTGTCACACCAAAGAGACTCTGTTCATGACCGCGGACATGACCCACTCTGAGGCTACCAATGGGCAGGTTGGGAGTCCCCAGGATGGGGAGCCTGCTGTACCCTGAAGACTTGAGCCTGTCTGCAGGGCCAGGCTTATCCCCTTTGAGAAGCAGCTGGTAGAAAATCCCTAACGTAATAGCTTGTCCCACACTCCATTCTTCAACACACCCATAGAAAAGCAAGATGGTGCCCAGAGCCCCACGGGCAATGCTAACACAAAGAGCTCAGGGCTCACACACCCGCCATAAGTACTCCAGGGACTGAGGAAGGAGCCAGGAAGACTGGGAGCCAGCATTGGCCAATCTAGGAGCCGCAAAGTGAAATGTCTCCCTGGAGTATAGAAAGGGATGGGTAAACTGGATCCCATCGAAGATAACTGCAGTTGTCACGAGAAGAGGCAGCCGAAGGGAACACGAGATGGCTCAGTGAGATGGTAAAGGCACTCGCTGCCAAGCCTGGCAATCTGAGTTCAACTCCTTGAACCCACGTGAAAGGAAAGAGCCAACTCCTGCAAGTTGTCCCCTGACCTCCCCAAGTGTGTATGTGTACACACGCATGTTAAAAAGGAAAAAAAAAAGGGCGTCCTTGTGGGGCAGTGGTGGCATATGCCTTTAATCCCAGCAGAGGCAGAGGCAAGCAGATCTCTGTGATTTTGAGGCCAGCCTGGTTTACAGAGTGAGTTCCAGGCTAGCCAGGACTACACAGAGAAACCCTGTCTTGAAAAAGGGCATCGCGGGGGGGGGGGGGGGGGGGGGGGGGGCCTGGAGAGACGGCTCAGAGGTTAAGAGCACCGACTGCTCTTCCAGAGGTCCTGAGTTCAAGTTCCAGCAACCACATGGTGGCTCACAACCATCTGTAATGAGATCTGGTGCCCTCTTCTGTATACATAATAAATAAATCTGAAGAAAGAAGAAGAAGAAGAAGAAGAAGAAGAAGAAGAAGAAGAAGAAGAAGAAGAAGAAGAAGAAGAAGAAGAAGAAGAAGAAGAAGAAGAAGAAGGGCATCCAGTGTTAGGGTCACAGGGGAAGGTGGGGACTATGGCAACCTGAAGAGGACAAGCCCCAAACAGAAACTTAGCTGCTTCACTCTGGACCACTATTGTCAGATTTTTCAAATAAAGCTTGAAATCCAAATTTATATATGGAAGCTCCAGGTTCTAAAATGTTCCTGAAAATGCTTATAAATGCCAGATAAGCCAGACAGAGCGGGGCACAGCTGAAGGGTCTCTAGTAGGCCCTGGCATGGCAAACACGGCTCTGGCAGGCCTTGCCCTTCCCACCCCACCCCCCATTCCCTCTACCTTGCTACAAACTGTTAGATTCCATTCCTAAAGCTAGGCACCAAGGTCCAGTCCCTTGCTGGCCACTTCCTCCTCCTAAGGCCGACTACCAAGGTCCAGCTATCGAAGTTCTGAAGTCCAGCAATCAAACCCCCTTTGACTCACCTAATTAACACGCCCAATCAAAATTAAACACCTCATCCTAACACAGGGGCTTCCCCCTTTACCTTTATAAACCACCATTTACCTATGTGCAACATCTGTCTCCTCTCTATCAAGAGACAGTCCTCTGCCCCTCCAGGACAAATACCCTGTTCCCTCTCCCTTGTTCCCTTCACCCTCTGTCTCCTGTCTTTGCCTCTTATTCCCTGCCCTCTGTCCCTCTAGGTCAAATAAATCTCCTTTGTGCTGAGAACTTGGGCCTGGGATGTCTTGTGCCAGCTCTGGTCCATGGTTTCAACAACCATGACACCGACTCTTTGCCAAAGACGAGACACAAAGGAGGAAGTTCCCCATTTGGCTGTGAGTGGGTCCAGGGCTTCTCTGCCTTAGGATTTAGCAACTCAAATACAGGCCAGATGAGATGCTTGGAGTCCGCCACTCTGTCCCTCAGATTGACGGCAGGATTGCCGTGAGGCTCCACGAAGTGATGCTTACAAACCGGCAGGCCACACTTAGATTAGCACTCAATAAATAGCAACCACGATTCTTCACACTGCCCCAGGCATTGAGACACAAAAGCCGCCTCCACGTCGGGAACACGGCTCCCACCCTCGCTTCTACAGCAAGGAGCTGTCAGGCGGAGAACACTGACTGTCCCAGTTCTGAGAATGCATCAGACCCGGCCCAGGCCACTCCAGGGCTATACATCTCCCTGCTTGGTGGTGACTCATTCACAGCCTACGCAGTGCCCTCCGAAAACCAAATAAGCTGTAAACATCTGTTTCGAAGTTTAACGTCGTCTGAGCTCTCCCAGAGACCCCTGTGCCGGATGTGGGCTCTGCTAGTATCCCCAATAAAGGGCTCTGATGTCACTTAGACCTTTAGTCAGGACTGGGACATCACAGAGGACTTGAAGGGCACTGCTGGAGAATCCAGCAAAAGGCTGAGGATGAATCCCAAACTACAGCCTTGGGATAAAAGCAGCGATCTCCTGAGCTAGGATGGGTAAAAGGGCCAGGCAGGGGCTCAGGTCCCACAGACTGGGTCATTAAGTCTGGGGAGGGGACCCAGCAAACCACTCTGTCTCTTTGGACTGCCCCGATGTTCATGTGCTAGAGCGGAGGGTATGCCTCATCACTGTCTGGAGGTTGCAGAGAGGGAGGTAAGGCTGCTTGGAGTGTGTGGAGGATTGGAAGCGGGGGGCGGCACAGTGAAAAGGGGTTAGACTCAAAGGAACTCGGGTAGATAGGGAAATCAAAGGCAGATTCTCTGAGATGGTGGCTTCTTGTTCCCGGAAGACATTGACAGGGGAGAAGGGCATGCAGGCGTGGAGGTGGGTATCTAAACAGGACCAACAGGCATAAGGGGAGGACCCAGGGCCTATGAAATAGTCACACCAGCCTCTGGTTTAGCCACCCTCCACTCCCAAAGCAGTAATGTTTACTTTCCCTGGGGCTTGGTTTTCAATCTTTCTGGAGGTTCAACCCTTGAGACGTTCAAATCTTTGTCCAAAGGAAAGAGTTCCGAAAGCCCCCCAGACAATCACCGGTACACCACTCCATTTCTTGGGATTTCCCAAGTCCAGTCAGTATATCTGACTGAAAATCAAAGAGGACTTGGAAGTGACTGTGACTATCCTGTACTCCAAGGACCCTTTTCCAGCAAGGCCCTTAACCCACCCCAACTAGACTCAGTTCCCACTTGCACAGTAAGGTGAATAGGAGCCATTGTGAACCCAGCCCTAGGGAATTGCTCATCTTCCCACTCAGTACACTTGAGAAAGGTCCACGGGGAAAGCCACGCCTCTGCCCACACCTGGCCCTTTGGCCCATGAGTTGTGATTAGCTAAGGGTAGGCACCTGAGGATTGTCTGGATAGGGCAATGGAAGCTTAAGTGTCTTAGCCATGTAGGCAAACCCTGAAGTCTACCAAACTTTGAGTTCAAGGTGGGATAGCCTTAAAATTCAGACATGGCTCCTGGTAGGCTTTGGGGAGTTTTATCTCCAGGTAGGAAAGCTTTGTTGGGTCCTGGTATGCCTGAGGGCTTTGGCTGTTTGTCCAGAACCCACATAGCTACTGCTGCTGTGGCCGGGCAGATGCCTCCTCCACACAGAGCCCCTTCCCCAGCCCAGGCTGTCTTGTATGTTGGCCTCTGGAGGTCCTCAAGTCAATGAGGGAGTGTGGTGGTTTGACTGAGAATGGCCCTCATAGGCTCAGATCTTTGAATGTTTGGTTCCTAATTGGTGGACTATTTAAGAAGGATTAGGAGGAGTGGCCTTGCTGGAGGAGGTGTGTCACTGGAGGTGGGCTTTGATGTTTCAGAAGCTCACGGGTGGGGGCAGTCTCACCCCCTCTCCCTCCCTCTTCTCTTTCCCTCTCACCTCCTGCCTTTGTATCAAAATGTAAAGCTCTCAGCTACCGCTCCAGCACCCTGCCTGCCTGCAGCCAACTCCCTCCGGTGATGCTCATGGGACTAACCCTCGGAAACTGTAAGCAAGCCTCCAGTCAGATGCTTTCTCCTATAAGCTGCCTTGGTCATGGTGTCTCTTCCCTGTCACAGAACAGTAACTAAGACAGAAGGAACAGGGTACGAACAGTGGTGTGGGGCTAGATGTAGGACTCAGCGGCGCGTGCGGGAGTCCCTGGTTCCATCTTCATTACTGGAAATTTGCAGCAACACAGACCCAGTCTGCTACTGATAGCAGCTGGAGGCAAAGAAGCCCAGGCTGCCTGGGTGGGAGGCTGGAGATGAGGGGCACCACCGGGTCTGAATGCCTGCTCTTTCTTTCCGGCGTCTTAGGTCTGCTTTTCTCTTTCCTTCCCGGCTAGTCACTTGCTTTTGTTTCTGCCCCTCACATTCTGGGCCCCCCACTTTTGATTTCATTTTCTTCTGTAGATTACAGGTACTTGACTCAGGAAAACTAGCCCTAACACAGGGTACGTGAACCAAATCCAAAGTCTCCACAGCTCTAAGTCATCAATGGATGATTTCCTGCTGGGTGGGACTGGCTAGGTAGGCTGTGGACAGGCCCCTGTGTTTCCTAAGTGTGTTCTCAGTTTCTGCCAAGTGTTGTCAATAAAGGAAGTCTTTCAAGGACTCCCTTAGAAGAGGGGGCACATAAAGTGTTGCAAAAACCACTCACTCCTGCAGGGGCAGGGGAGCAAGAAGGTTAGACTCGAGGGATCCCGAGTTCTTGACATGGTTCTTCTAGGTTCTTCCTTGCTATGCTTAAGAGGTGGGTATGGCCGGGCGGTGGTGGCGCACGCCTTTAATCCCAGCACTCGGGAGGCAGAGCCAGGCGGATCTCTGTGAGTTCTGAGGCCAGCCTGGACTACCAAGTGAGTTCCAGGAAAGGCGCAAAGCTACACAGAGAAACCCTGTCTCGAAAAACCAAAAAAAAAAAAAAAAAAAAAAAAAAAAAGAGGTGGGTATGGCAGGCTAGAGAGAGATGGCTCAGTGGTTAAGAGCACTGACTTGTCTTCCAGAGGATCCAGGTTCAATTCCCAGCAACCACATGGTGTCTCACAACCATCTGTAATGGGATCCGATGTTCTCTTCTGGCATGCGGGCATACATGCAGACAGGGCATGCATATACATAAAACTTTAAAAAAAAAGGTGGGTGTGGCAGCTACGGGGGTCTATTTTTTGCAGAGCCCTTGGCCTTATGGTTGTAGGTGAGTTTGTACTAAGGAAGATAGCCACAAATAGCCTGGTATTTTGTTTTGTTTTGTTTTTTCTTGTTGTTTCTCAAATATTAAGGACCAGCCTTAATAATCTTCTTCCTAGGGGCCCAGAAGAGAGGCTATGAATGGTGAGAATTATTTTCGGGGAAAAGAATTTAAGTACATTGATCTCTTAGTCCATGGATTTTATTCTTCTCCACCCCCCTATGCCCTGGGAGTCCCCGGTATATAGACACTTCCAAGCAATAATCCCTTGGCAGTGCAATGCCAGGCTTCTAGGGTCAAATGGGAGGGGTGATAAGAATCACACAGAGGGGCAGTAATTGTTAATTATCATTAGCAACCCCAAAGGGAAGTGACTAATGGGGAAATGAATCAGCTAAGGGCTAAATTCAGTTAATATCTGAGAAGAGGGATTTTATGTGCTCAACTACATTCTTAAAGGTGGTTAGTTGGAAATGTTAAGAATCTATAAGTCGCTAGGTCAATGGGTGAAAAATAAAACTGCCTTCTTTTTTCCTGTGGCTCCTTGTCTGTCCAAGCTATCTGCCGTTTTTCTGCAGGGTGGGGAAAACCATGCTCTGTCGCTA